ATAAAACTGAGAGATTGACTACTCATGTGGACCATATTAATAGTTTCCACAATATAGTTGTTAAGAAATGTGAGGACCTAATGAGAGATGGTCAATCAATTGTCGTCGCCTTACATAAACAAAGTGATATTCAGAAGAATGAATATCTTATTCGGTTGAATGCTTCTGTTGATGTCGCTAGATTTTTGTTGAATGGTGCATTACCTTTTCGTGGTCATGATGAGTCAGAAACGTCTCTTCAGTTAGTTGTTGTGGCGGTTGCACATAAACACATCGAGACTGGAAAATTCTTTGACATGATAGCATTGTGATGAATGTGGTTTGTGCTTCTTACAAGCGAACATATATGGTTCGAGAAAGTCAAAAGGAAAAAGTATAAGAAGCCATTGGTAGCAGTGAAACTGAAATAGGTAGTGGGTTAAATCAAGATTTTTTTCTTGGAAGACCTGGAGATACACGATGGGGTTCACACTACAAAACACTTAAGCGTTTGGTTGATTTGTTTCCATATGTTATTGAGGTGCTTCAGTATGTTGAAGATGTGTGCTAGAATCCTTACAGCCAACATCAAGCAAATAGTCTTCAAATATATTTTCAATCATTTGATAGTGTGTTTTATTTGCACTTGATGTTGCAGATTTTGAGGGTCACTGAATCATTTTCACAGGCTTTTCAGAAAAAAGATCAAGATATCTTGAATGTTATTTTATTGGTGAAGTTAATCAAGCGACAACTGCAACAATTCAGAGTTGATGGACTTTGTCGACTTCTTGAGAAAATCTCTTCTTTTTGCGGAAAACACAACATCGAAAGTAAACATGGAGGAAGTTTATGTCAATCCAAAAAATTGAAGACACAAGACAAATATCATATATCGACGTTATTACAAGTACAAATGTTTTAACACGGTTATGGATAAGCAAATTCAAGAGTTTGGTGACAGATTTGAGGAGATAAGTTCCGAATTGCTCACTTGTATGGCCTCTTTGAATCCTCATTACTCATTTTGTGACTTTGACCCATCAAAATTACCAAGGTTGACAGAGTTTTATCATGATGATTTTAGCGATGACGAAAGAACTACTCTTGAGCACCAACTTCAACTCCAACATGATGAATTATTTGCTAATTTGAAAGGTACTAGAAGCGTACTCGCGCAATGCAGCGAGATATATCGTGATTTTAATATTTCATTTTATTATTTATCTCAGCTGATGTTATAATATGGCTTTATGTGATTTTGAGAAAACGATGATGTTTTTATTTTTGAATAAAATATATGTTTGAAGATATCATAAAAATTTGACAAAAATATATCGATAT